AACTGTATGTTGTATGTGTATACATATGTTTTCCTCTGAATATATTGCCAGCTGTGTAAAAGGGTCCATTTTTATTTTTTGAGAATGTTATACTCTTCTGCAGTTTTTATCACTTGACATTTGAACAGCTGTGTTCATGAGTGTGGATTAACCTCCTCCTTTTTAACGACTGCATATGGTAAAGACTGCATACGAGAGTTCAGCCAACCAGTGTCTTATTTGTGAGATATTTGAGTTGTCCTGGTTTCTATGCTCCTAAAATAATGTGATGAACATCCATTATCTTGACAGTTCTAATTACAGAGCTTCTGCCTATGCTGGCCCAAAAATCTTCCTCCTAACTTCCACTGACTGGTCCCGAAAACGGTTGCCATCTTTCTCCCGAGTTTTCTCTTGAGTTTAAACATTCCTTGTCAGTTTTGCCATTTTTTCATATGGTTTGGATCCCTTTGCTGTCCGGGATGTGGTCCGCTTTGTGATGTCTAAATTGTAGTGATGGAACTCAGCCCTCTTAGCTGTGGTTTCACCAAATGGAGAGGGTGGGATTGTCTGTTTTAATTCAGTCCATGATTTTCTCCTGCCCTATCGCATTGTTAGTCTGTATTGAGGGTAGTCATTTACAGCTTTCCATTGGAGTTTATGGATCCCTGGGGTATTTGACAAAAAGCTGTGGACTTCCCACCCTCTCACTTTACTGCGCCACCACCCCCCGAATGCATTAACACAGGTATTTCTGCAGTTTTATGTGGTTCATGGGTCCCTGGGTTTCTCTTTATCATTGGACTTGTTGATTACTTTGCCAAATTCATAGGTTCTCTCATTCTCTGCCAGTTCTGTTACGTCCTCATTCAACTGGAAGTGGTCAAGGTTTGGCATTGCTGGGTGAGTCCATGCTGCCTCCCAGCGTGTAGCGCTTTCTTATCGCAAGTGGTGTTTTTTTTAACAATACAGATCAGCCTCAGGCTAACCAGTCTGTAGTTTGGAAGTCTGGCTTCTAGTACTTTCCCATTCATGATTCCACACAGATTACGAAAAGCAATTAAGCAGCCTTATCTGTGAAGCCTCTCAGGATCCCAGGATGTGATTTTGAGATCAAATGACTTGAATTTAATGAGAATATCTATCTAGTTTTTTTTTTTTCTCAGCCATCTTGGATTTAAGTTTCTTCTTAGTCATTGTGTTTGATCTTCAGATTAGAAAGAAGAAAACATCCTTAGCCAAGAATGGAAATAAAATAGGAGAAGGCTATTTGTCTTTGTTACTATTATATTAACCACCCCATCCAGGAGGAGCTTCCCTTTTGCCTCTACTTCTTTTTACTCTAACCTCTAAGACGCCGTTTATTCATTATCTGGTGCTTTGTAAAGTCACAGTTCATCCTGAGGCTTTAGCCTCGTTCACAATATGCTTACAGCTCCATTTCACCCTTTGTAATACTTGTTTTTTGTGGGTTTTTTTTTTAACCATCTGTTGTAAGTGGTTTTTTAACATCTGAATTCCAGAAAGTTCTCTGTGCAGCACATCAGATTTTTTAGATACTTTCCCCTTTTCTTCCCCTCATCAGTGTGTTTTGCAATTATGCAGTCAGCATTATGCTTTTGAGAGCCTCCAAGCCTTCTTGAGCTTCTTTACACAGTTTCCGATCTTGGAATTGATCCTAATTTTCCTTTAAAAAACTTGAAATCTGCCTATCCAATATGTGCAACATTCCCCTTCCCTTCTCGATTTCCAAATGACATGGCTGCTTTCTGTAAAGCTTCCTCCTCCTTGCATCTTACCAATCATGTTTTATTGGGGAGAATTAGGTCCAGAGTAACAGTTTCTCTCCTTTCTCCTCTTACTTCGGAAAGACTGAATTTTTATGCAGACCAAAAGTACATCATCAGACGCACTGACTTAAGCTGACACTTTTACAGATGTCCGCTGGTCAGTGATGGTAGCTAAGAATGGCTGTTTGTTGTACATTGCCACATGACAGGCACCATAGTCTCCTTTTCACATAGATGATCTTGCTTGTCTCCTGCCTTAGGGTTATGAGCCATAGGTACTAGTATTGTTTTCCTAGTAATACAGATGAGGAAATGGCTATAAGGATGTTGAGTTACTTGCCCAAGATCCCACAACTCCTGAGGGCCAAGGTCGGATATTTTCTCTACTGGATTCTTAATCGGCTGTCCTGGGCAGCTTGACATGGTGCTTAATTACAGTGCTGGACAGGATTCTGTTACTTCAAAACCTGTGTAGCTCTCAGGCCAGTGGCTGTGCACAGTAGGCACTTAAATATTTAATTTGAGGTTTATGTTTCTTGTTGATTTCCAGGGTATTGCCTTTTAGCTCTTGCAATTAAGAAAAAGGTGAGGAAAAATGGGTGAGGTACACCGTTAGGCAATTCATAGAAGAAATGGAAAGACAAAAAGATGCTCGTTTTTCCTAAGCAAATATGTATTTGATGGTTTTAAGAGACCCAGTTTTTAAATGGCAAGACTCTTTTTGTTTATAAATATGATACATAAAAAAGAATGCAGAGATGTTTGTGAAGTTTCAGAGATAATCATTATTAACGCAAGCAGGCATACACAAAATCTTATTCAATTGAGCTACCAGTGTACAATTGCTTTTTTAAAAAACTGAATCTATTATGAACATCGTTCCATGTTAATAAACACTCGGTGATGATGGCGATATAGGTTTCCATTGTTTCTCATAAGTGATTGAGATCACTTCATTTCCTTTGTTCTGTACGTTTTTATATGTGAAGCAAAAGTAGAGGATGAGACTTCAGATCTATATTTTTTATTATTAGACTGTTTATTGAAATTACTTCTTTACCATTCATTATTTGATCTCTTCTACATTAGGTGTTTCGCTAGGAAGAGTGGGGTTGGATGTCCAGTCATTGTGATCCACGCAATTGATTTTTTGTTTTAAGAACCATTATACTCTCTTTTCTTTGAGAAGGGTCATTAGGATAACTTGTTGAACATGTATGTTAAGTGTTTTAATAAATGAGTTTGTCATTTAAAGAGTTTTCTAATGAGTAGTGGAAGCTGTGCAGTAACCTATTGGAAATAGCTTTGGAGCAAGACTGTCCTTGTGCAAGTTTCAGATCCCAGCTCTATCAGTTTTAGTTATGTAAACAATTTGGGCAAGTCACTTAAGGGTCTACGCCTCAGTTTTTTCATCTTATAATTGATCCTCATTTTTTCAGGAAAATAGTGATGATTGTTACTCTCTTATGGGAGGAATAATTTAACTTGAGATATTACATGTAAAGCCCCAGTGAAGTATTGATATCCATTTTGTCTCTTTTACGTAGTAAGACAAGGAATTCTCAACCTTTTTTTGTGCTGTTTACCCTTTCGCTAGCCTGGTGAAACCCACGGAAGGACCCCTTCTCAGAATAATGATATTAAATCCATAAAGTTCAGTGCTTGGGATTACAAAGGAAGCCAATTATATTGAAAGACAGTTACCAAAATACTTAAAACACATTTGTGGTCCTTTCTGTTTCAGACTTTCTTTGGACCGAGGTGGAGAATGAATGAGAAAGATAGGGAAGGGGCGCCTGGGTGGCTCAGTGGGTTAAAGCCTCTGCCTTCGGCTCGGGTCATGATCCCAGGGTCCTGGGATCGAGCCCCGCATCGGGCTCTCTGCTCAGCGGGGAGCCTGCTTCCTCCTCTCTCTCTGCCTGCCTCTCTGCCTACTTGTGATCTCTGTCTGTCAAATAAATAAATAAAATCTTTAAAAAGAGAGAGAGAAAGATAGGGGAAAGGGAGGAAAAAGGGCAGAGGTAGGAAAAGGAAGCTCCTAAGTAAATGCCTGGTGCTGGCTCCCTCCCAAGCAGTCACCCTGGATCCCCACGGGTGCCTGGACCTTGCCATGTCCGCGTCCTCTCAGCAGTTCAGATGGATCACCAGTGAAGTGGAATGCCTCTCCCGTGTCCCTCAGTGACAGCACTCTCCAGAGCACCTCAAGTCTAAATTCTCAGATCAGTCGGAGTCCTCGCTTTTGTAACCTATCCCTACTTCACGTCAGTCATGCACTTGTGCCCGTTTTCTCTCTCAATATCTGATTTTCCCATCAACATGGGAGACTCTCACTTCATCCTTGTCATTATGACACAGGCTTTTTCTTCGTGGTTGTCCAGCTTCCTACCTCTTCCACGAGGCAGCCCGTGTTTTGGGCCGGTTTGGTCTGTTCCCTGTCTTCACATCTGCAGCACTCAAAGATGGGCTGTACGCTCTCGTTCCCAACCGTCAGCCACCTCGTTCGCTTGTTGGCAAATCTGTGTCTATTTTCATTTCCCCAAACATATTTGAAGTTCTTTGAGGAAACAGACCCCATCTTATACTTAACATTTTTGTCTCCCTGTGGAACTTAGCACAGTACTTAAAAGTGCTTCATAAGATCTTGGTTAAAAAAAAAATCATCAGAATGAGGTAGTTCCAACTCCAAAAACAAAAAGGAAAAAATTGGACCTTGTCACCTGCTTGATGGTTGTAGGAGTTGCTGATATCCGACCAAGTCTTTATAGCAAAAACCTACTGAGAATTTTGCGTCTTTTCAAATTTTTACTAACTCACTAACTTGATTGCCCAAGTTATTCAGTCATGGTTGCTCTTACAGTGTTCCTTGTGGTTAAAGAAACCATGGCCGTGACTCCCTCTACTGTGAAACCTCTGTTTGTCCTCATAATCACCACTTATATCCCAGGGCCTGACATAGAATAGATGATTAGTACATTTTGCTAGAGGAATTTAGCTTGTGCCTGGAAAATAGCTTGTTTACTTTCAAAGGCTTGGGACTGTGCATAGATTATTATAAAAACAAATATATAATAGCTTTGTTTAAAAAAAGTATGTGATCTTAACAGGAAAAGCAGTTTTAGTACAGCAAGCCTCAGATCATACACTAGTCTCCTTAGTTGGCTTTGATTTTTTTTTTTTTTTTTGCCATTGATGTTCTTTCTTTTGGTTAAATTATTTTACTTGTATTCTTAGGTTAAGACATCCGAATTTTATAGATACTCCCGACAGCTGCGCTATGAAGTTGACCAAGCATTGAATTACTTTCAGAACGTTCACCAGCAGCCTTTGTTGGACATGAAATCCAGCCGCATCCGCTCTGCCAAACCCCAAACTACAGTATTCCGAGGAATGATTGGACATAGCATGGTTAACAGTAAAATCCTCCTCTTAAAGAAACCAAGAGTCTGGTGGGAGCTGGAGGGCCCGCAGGTTCCTCTGCGCCCGGACTGCCTTGCTATTGTTAATAACTTCGTGTTCTTGTTGGGCGGGGAAGAACTAGGCCCAGATGGCGAATTCCATGCTTCTTCCAAAGTGTTCAGGTATGACCCGAGGCAGAACTCTTGGCTCCGGATGGCAGACATGTCAGTGCCACGTTCAGAGTTTGCAGTTGGTGTTATTGGGAAGTTTATTTACGCCGTAGCTGGCAGAACCAGAGATGAGACTTTCTATTCAACCGAGAGATACGACATCACCAATGATAAATGGGAATTCGTGGATCCTTATCCAGTTAACAAATATGGACATGAAGGGACAGTGCTCAACAACAAGTTGTTTATCACCGGTGGAATCACCTCATCTTCCACCTCCAAACAAGTGTGCGTGTTCGACCCCAGTAAAGAAGGGACCATAGAACAGCGGACCAGAAGAACGCAAGTGGTTACCAACTGTTGGGAGAATAAGAGCAAAATGAATTACGCAAGATGCTTTCACAAGATGATTTCTTACAACGGCAAGCTTTATGTCTTCGGTGGTGTCTGTGTGATCTTGAGGGCCTCTTTTGAGTCTCAGGGATGCCCTTCCACAGAAGTGTACAACCCCGAGACTGATCAGTGGACCATCTTGGCGTCCATGCCCATTGGCAGAAGTGGCCATGGTGTGACTGTGCTGGACAAACAAATAATGGTTCTCGGAGGCCTTTGCTACAACGGTCATTATAGCGATTCCATCCTTACTTTTGATCCAGAAGAAAACAAGTGGAAGGAAGATGAGTACCCGCGGATGCCCTGCAAGCTGGATGGTTTACAAGTGTGCAACCTGCACTTCCCGGAATATATACTGGACGAGGTCAGGCGTTGCAACTAATGACATCTTTCTCCCTTTAAAAAAAGCCAAACGAAAGATTTGTTTGTGACAAAGTAGTTAATTAAAAAAAGTAAAGAAAAACCTCACCAGTTTTACTATCAAAGCCATTGGTCTAATATCGTAAAAAATTTTTCATTCTGTGCTAGCATCTGTTTTTTTTTTTTTTCCTTTTTAGTGGCCTCAAACTCATGCAATAAGTTCATTCTAAGCGCTAGCTCTTGAAACTACTTCCAGAAGCAGTTTAATAGAGTGATCCACTTATCTGGGAAGTTGATTTTATGCTTTAAACATTTCTTTCAGATGACAGCGTAGGAGTCCTGCATCTTCTAAGAGAAGACATGATAAGTGTCACTGGATGTAATTTCGGTTCCTATCTCGATCTGAAATCTTTTGGAACGTTTCAGTGTATTACAGTCTGTTAGACCTTTTGGTTTTATAATTTAAGTTTAAAACTCTTGACCTTTTTGCATGGCTTTTTGCTGGAAATGCAAAAATATAAATTTTCTACAAAATTAACTTTTTTATATTCAAAACACTATTTCTAAGCTGCCTTCTCTTATCTGCATTGTGTTAGTGAAAGCATATCCATACTTGCATACATCTTACGAACATATAAGGCACATCTCCTTTTATGCGTGGTTAGGATTCTATATTTTTAAGCTAGTGCACTTGCACACACGGTTTGCCATACTTGTTGAATTTTAGATGTAACGTCTTTTCGTGTATTAACATTTTTAGAAAGTTAAAATAACTGGAGTCCTCATTGGTATCAAAGTAGCCTATGTTCAGTCCATACTGATTCAGTAATATTGGAACTCTGTGTATTCCTGAAACATGTATGGATTTCTGAAAACTAACATTTTATATTTTCTTTTCAAAAGTAAACGTTAGTGTTCCTTATTCAATGTATGTCTTCTTTTTGAAAATGTTTTTCTTTGCAGTCTGTTTAACGTTACCCTGTTTTTAGTGAGAATCGGAGTGGTAGACGCAGCCCGGGCCTTGTGGCATGCGAGCACTTTTAAAGAGCATTTAGGTCATACCAGACTCCTAAATAGAGGCCCCTTAAAAGTAAGTGCAACTCCCATTCTTTACACTCAGTAAGGCTGCTGTGTCTGTTATTGAATGGAAAGTAGCAACTCGTGGAAAATTTGAGCTCATTTTTGATGTAGAGGTAAGAAACAGAATTATAATCTTACTGGTCATATCTACTTGTTTATTTAGTACAGAATACTTAGTGGCACCGGGGATGTAAGCCCCCAGCCTTTGTTTTATTTACTGAAAGCTACTAGCATGAAGGATAGTAACCTCAAAGTTCAGAACAGATCAAGAATAACTGTTTAAAAGCATTTATAGTAAGTGTTTTAGGATTAGCCGTGCACCTTTCAACTCTTTAAACTCAGAAGGAAAAACAAGATTAAATTAAGCAAGAATAACCGGGAGTGGATCATTCACATGGATGCCATTTTCTCCTGAGTAGAGTCTATATCTGATACAGACTAGTTCTACACTGGCAGAACTTGCCAGGTCTTAGGATATTGGTGCAATATTGCAATGCCTTCTTCTATGGCTGTT